CTCTCTCTCTCTCTCTCTCTCTCTCTCTCTCTCTCTCTCTCTCTCTCTCTCTCTCTCTCTCTCTCTCTCTCTCTCTCTCTCTCTCTCTCTCTCTCTCTCTCTCTCTCTCTCTCTCTCTCTGTATCTCTCTGTCTCTCTTTTTCTCTCTCCCTCTCTCTCTGTCTCTCTCCCCCCCTCTGTATGTGTGTGTGTGTGTATATGTGTGTGTGTGTAGAACAGGCTGATTGTGAAGGAATACTATACAAAGATTAAAGGAATGGAATGGTGAGGGAGGGAGGGAAAGGGGAGAGATGAGAAAAATAAAATTAGGGATGGGAAATCATCTCAGTTCTCCTTCTCTTTCCTTCAGCCTCACCTATGCCTTCTATGCTCTCTTCACCATCCTCCATCTCTACGCCAACTACCAAGCAGTGCGGGCAGTTTGCATGGAGACCCTTAACCGTGCTCGGCTCCATCTGGTCTTGCAGCATTACTTGAAGCGGGAAGAAGTTCCTGGTCCTGCTGTCATCAACCCTCAGGAGCCCCTTCTGCTAGGTATCTGAGGTCTCCTGATCCCAGGCGTCTTATAGTACCATGTCCAATGTTTATGTTGATAATAGAGTAGCCATTAGTGAAGGGATGGCTTAAAAAATGGTGTGTCAAGCATGGGACTATTGTCCAGTTCTTCTCCTAGGAGTGCAAGAGTTAATCTGAGGAAGGGAGGTTTACTTCGATCTGATTTTGATAAGAAATAGCTTTGTTCAAGTTCTCATTTGCCAATAAGCCAGTCTACCACTCCGGATGAGGATCGTGGGTGGGGATCTGCCAACTCATGGAATACAGGGTAGGATCACCAGATCTGAGCTGCAAGAATCACTAGATGGCAGCAAAGCCTGAGGGTTTTTGTGCCACCGTGCTACCATCTAGTGGTCACCGGATGTTTTGCAACCAGGGTTGATAAATCTACTATGTTCTACTTTTTGATGGAAACCATGAAAGTTCTGTTAAGTTTTTTGGGGCATGGATGAGTAGCTACTTTGGTAGTGATGGAGTTCATGCTTTACCACTTAGCCAAGACTTCCACCACATGTTTAGTCAGCATTATTTGAATCAAGGGTTGTGACTCATAATTTTTTTTCAATGTAGGGTTTCGTCAGCAGCTCAAGATAACTCTAGGGACTCCTCTTCATACAGTGACCTCCAGGTGAGTTTCCTCCATTATTCTGAGAAAGCTGAATGCATGATTTAGCCCTTTAGAGTTGAGTTTTATCATTGCTCTGAGCTGTGAACAAATACAGCAAATGGAGCATATTTTACGGGAATTCAGAAATGCCAAGCAACATGAGTACTCTTAACTGGCACTGAAAATAACTTTATAACTTTATGCATGACAGACTCGTGAGGCCGGCGTGATGTGCAATTAGTTCACAGGGTGAAATAAGTTGGGGGTTTGTAGTCACCGTGAGTTTGTGGTGAGGGGGGGGCACAGAGGGAGGCTCAGCCAATTTCACTGTATACATGTTATACTTTGATAATAAAGGGTTTATTATTTATTATTATTTATTAAAATGCAAACGTTTTTCTCAGCGCTGAAAATATTCTTTGGGAGACTGACAAGAAGGTCTTCCCAGCCTCAAAGCATCTTTCTTTAACTTTGGTTATTTGTATGTTTTTCTCCAATCCCCATCAGTGTTGCTGACTTCCAGAAAGCTCTTGAAGGCAATGCTTCAAATTACTTAATTTTCTTCAACCGACCAGCAGGTGGGTGTACGATCATATTGTAGGAAGATGTGAAGTTAACTGACCATAATTTCTTGCAGGGGAAGGAATTTCTGGCATGGAGGATAGGTGTGGTGTGCTGGATAGTCCTGAGCTGGGATAAGGGCGAGCTGAGATCAAGGCCCCGTGGGAAGTTTGCTTGACTTTGGACCAATCATCATTTCTCAGTCCAACCAACCTCATGGAGTCCTTGGGTGGAGATCTTTGAGTTCATCCTGGGCTTCCAGAAGAGATACGTATTATAGTAATACAGGTAGTCCTCGACTTAACAACCACAATTGAGCCCAAAATGGTTGTCGTTAAGCAAGACAGTTGTGAGTTTTGCCCCATTTTACGACTTTTCCTGCCACAGTTATTAAGGGAATCACTAGAGTTATTAAGTTAGCAACTCAGTTGTTAAGTGAATCCGGCTTCCCCATTGACTTTGCTTGTCAGAAGGTCACAAAAGGTGATCACATGACCCCGGGACACTGCGACCATCATAAATATGAGCCAGTTGCCAGCCAAATTTTGATTATGTGATCAGGGGATACTACAATGGTGCTAAGTATGAAAAACGGTCATAACTCACTTTTGTCAGTGATGTAAGAGAAGACCATTTGTCGGCCGTGACCAGGGGGGCGTTTTATCAGGTTCGCCTGATCTACCAGTTGCGCCCTTTTCTGGACCGGGATGCTTTGCGCACAGTCACTCAGGCCCTCGTCACCTCCCGCCTGGACTACTGTAATGCTCTTTACATGGGGCTCCCTATGAGGAGCATCCGGAGGCTTCAGCTGGTCCAGAATGCGG